TGAAAACAGCGATATCACATTGGACCTTGCGAAAATCTAGATTAGTATCTACTTTGAGAAGACACACTCTGATAAGATGGGAAACTTGTAAGAAATAGATACATATGAATTACATAACCTGAGTCAAGAAGTCATTATCTTCATAAATAACCCAGTGTCAGTCAATTGAAGAAGTAATTAAAAATCAAAAACTACCCACAAAGAAAAGTCCAGGTCCTGATGAATTTACTACTGAATTCTACAAGAATTTTAGAGAAGATCTAATGCCACTACTTTTCAAACTGTTTAATGAAATTGAAAGGGAAACAATATTCCCAAACCCATTCAAGCATTACCCTTATACCAAAACTAGCAAGCATTACCCTTATACCAAAACCAGAGAAGAAGCCAACCAAAAAAAGAGAACTATGGTCCAATTCCCTTAATGAACATAGGTGCAAAAAATCCCCAGTAAGATAATAGCAAACGGAACACAGCAGATCATCAAGACGATTGTATGCTATGACCAGGGACACAAGGGTGATTCAACATATGCAAGTCAATAAATGCAATACACCATTATAACAGAGCCAAGGACAAAAACCATAGTATCTCAGAATAATATGCAGAAAAAGCTTTTGATAAACTCCAATGCTCATTATTTTTTTTAAAACCTACAGAAAATTGGAACAAAATGTCTTTATCTCAATCTGATAAAACCCGTCTATGATAAACCAACAGTGAACATCATACTAAATGGTCAAAAACTGAAAGCTTTCACTCTAAAATCAAGAACAAGGCAAAGATTCCCACTATCACTACTCATGTTCAATAAAGTTATGGAAACTTTAACCAGAGCAATGAAACAAGAAAAAGAAAAAAAAAAAAAGGAATATGGGTAGGTAAGGAAGAAGTTAAATTTTAACTACTTGGTGATGATGTGATAGAAGACCCTAAATTTAAGTTCCACCAAAAGACTCCTAAAACTAATAACCTAGTACAAGTCAGAACACCATTCCTGTACACAAATAACAAACTCACTGAGACAGAAATTAAGGAAACATCTTTCACAATAGCATCAACAAAAATGAAATACATAGGAATCAATCTAACGAAGTTAAAGACCTATACAATGAAAACTACAGTACTCTGCAAAAGGAGATTGAAGAGGATGTCAGAAAATGAAAAGACATCCCTTGTTCTTGAAAAGGCAAAACCAATAGAGTGAAAATGGCCATACTTCTTTTATATAGAATTAACTTTTATATAAAATGAACACAACCCCAACCAAAACATCAATAGCATATCTTACAGAACTAGAGAAAACAACCCTAAAATTCAGAAGAGGGCCATACTAGCAAAAACAATTCTGAGTAATAATGACAAGGCAGGGTGCAGCACAATTTCTGATTTGAATTTATATTGCTAAGCTACCATAATAAAAACAGCATGGTACTGGGGAAAAACAGAGCCAAAGATTAATGGAGCAGAATAGAAGATGCAGAAATAACTCTTAAGCACACACAGCTACCTTATCTTTGACAAGAGGGCTGAAAGCCTACACTGGAAGAAAGATACCCTCTTTAATAAATGGTGCTGACGAAATTGGCTTTCCACATACAGAAAATTGATCCTACACTCATATTTCTTGCCATGGACTAAACAAAAATTGAAATCAAAGATCTAAGCATAAAAACAGACAATCTTCTGGAAGATAAAATAGGTAAAACTCTTAAAGATATAAGTGTAGACAAAGATTTTATGAACAAAACCCTGATTGCACAAGAAACATTACAAAGAATCAACCACTAAGGTTATATTAAATTAAGAAGTTTTGCACAGCAAAAGAAACAATCAACAGATTGAAGTGACAACCTACAGAATAAAAATTTATCAGCTACTCCTCAAACAAAGAACTAATATCCAGAATATACAAAGAATTCAAAAATAAAATGACCCCTTCCAAACTTAAAACCCCAATCCAAAACTGGGTATCTGAAATGAATAGACAGTCCTCATATGAAGCAGTACAAATCAATTATATGAAATAATTACATGAAAAATTGCTTAACATTTCTGGTCAATCAAGAAATGCAAATGACAACAATGCAGAAATTCCATTTCACAACAGAAGAGTAGTTATCATCAAGAAATCAACCAATAACAAATGCTGGGAACGATAATGTGGGAAAAGGAACCCTTCTCCATTGTTGGTGGCAGTGTAAACTGATAAAGTGTTATGGAAATCAGTATAGAGAGTCCTCAAATAACTAAAACTAGACGCTCCATTTGATGCAGCTATTCCCTTGTAAGTATCTTCTCCAAAGAGTTAAAAGCATCATATCGATGTTTATAGCAGCATAATTTATAATATCTCAATCTTGGAAATAGCCCATATGAGCCCATCAACAGAATGTATACAGAAATGTGACGTTTATGTCCAACAGAGTACCACTCTGCTATAAAGAAGGATAAACTTGAGTCATTTGTAGGAAAATCGATGCACCTTGAGACCATAATCTTAAATGGAATAAATTGGACACACAAATTTAAATATCACATTGTTTCTCCTGTGAGAAACTCGATGAATAAATGAGCATAACTGAGAATACATATTGGAAAGTAGGAAGAACATGATCAGATGGGAAGCAGGACAAAGGAAGGGGAAAGAAAAGGGAAGGGGAAGGGAAAGAAGAATGAAAGGAATAATAGAAAAAATTTTTTGTAAATGTCAAGGGAAATAAGGGTTAAAGGGTTGGGAGACAGAAAAAATTAAAATACATTATGTACAGGTACAAAATTCCTGTGGTGAGTGTGATCAATATGTAGGACAGATAAGTACTAATAAAGTCAAAAAAACTTTTAAAAAATAACTGAAAAGTTTAGAACTAAAAAGTTTGAAATAAGGCCAGCTTAATGTCAAATAAAATAACGAAAGAGAGATCTTAAATATGGCTCAATATTGATTTTCAAATCTGAAGGAGAGAGATAAGATAGTAAAACAAATAACCCAAGCCTAAAGAACTTAGAGAATTATGCTAAAACTTCTAAGATGTATAGCATTAAGTTTGAGAATGAGAAGAGAGAGATGTGTACAGAAACAAAGTTTGAAGAAATGATTGGAAACTTTTGAAATTTTGTAAAAGATAGTTACAAATGCAAAAAAAAAAAAAAAAAAAAAACAACTCAGTGAATTCCAAGCAAGAGAAGTTCAGTGACAACAAACAAATTATAAATTGATGAAAACAGAAATTACACTTTAAAAAATGGAAGCCACATGTGGTGGCACACACTTCTTTTTTTTTATTTAAAGAGAAAAAAAGAGGAAATTTTTTAAAAAGCAGTAAAAGGGTACAAATAATACAGAATTTCAAGGAAAAAAATACAGTAAGATATCACTAGTTAATAGGTTACATATTGTCATCTTTGAAATAGTTGTCCAAATTATAAAATTAAAGCATGTAAAGTGAACATTCATACAATGAGATTGCAGACAGTGCCGATCAATGATCAACAAAAGTTCAGTAATATGGATTTCCATCCTACACACTCAAACATACATGCAGTTATATCCCTTAGACCACCTTCCTTTCCTCTCTTTTTAATAACAATTACACTTTTTGGGTTTTTTTACTCCCACAATTCTTATTATTTTTTGGAGAGAATAAAACCTAACGTGGCTAAACAAAACAAAGTCGGTTAGAACAAAAGGATGGGCATAGTACATGATGTAAAAATAGAATATCAGGTGATCTAAACTGGTTACCATTGTGCCTCTTGCTATTTTTTTAAAAAGTTGCCTATATCATCAGGTATAATAGAATTGATCAAAACAGTACAGAACAAGACCAATAAAACCTACACTGGAGACCTTACAGGATTTCAAAAGAAGATAATAGTCAAACCACAATGGGCATCTTAGTGAATCTCATTGCCTTCAAAGTGGTTGCCTATACCCTCAAACTTGATACTATCAAACAAAATAGAATATAGTAAAATCTGACAGAACAAGATGGGGAGAGCAATACTGGGGATCATATCAGGTTAATAGGAAAACAAAAAAGTTACCATAATATATCCCGCTATTTTTTAATTTAGTTTTCCCTTAATTGAAAAAAAAGTAAGAAAAAAATAGATTAATTCTTAAAAAGGGTGGGATTGAGGTAAAAGAGGACATTGTATTAGAACAACACAGGTCAGAACCGAACAATTTAAGCATCATCGAGAAATACAGTCTTTTTGTGTGTGTGTGTGTGTGTGTGTGTGTTCTTACCAGTACCAGGGATTGACCTTATGACCACACGCTTGCAAGGCAGGCGCTTATGCCACTGAGCTAAATCTCCACCCCGTGGCACACACTTCTAATCTCAGCACTCCAGGAATCTGAGCAGGAGAATCAAAAGACCAGTCCAGCCTTGACACCTCAGCAGTCTATTAAAGTTTCAGTTTCATGTATCCCTCTCCTTGATCTACATATACAGTACCTGATAAATTTAAATATTGAAACATCCATGAAAGTAGCATGATTTTTAAGGGAATCTGAGTGTGAACTCATTTGCAAAGTAAGCTTGGTTAGCATCTGATACTTCTATTGCCTATGCAAATAGGAGTTTGAGTTTTCATTGTGTATTTAAGGGGAGACGCAACTAAAAGAACAAGAATTAACCAAGAAGCAAGCCTTCCCTGAGAACCAGCACCATGCAGGGACCACTGCCACTAGGGGGACAGCTAGACCCTGTCCCTTCCAGTGCACAGGCTGGGAAAGGAGAGCAAAACTCCTCTCCCTACCCCAACAAGCCATGGCTGATTGGGAGAAACACAAGCTGCAATGATAGCTATTGAGGTGAAATGCAATTTGACACTCGTGTGTGGTGTTTCACTGACTTTGCAGGTCTAGGGCTGGTGGTATGATCATCTATTCAGAGGATAATGGTACATAGTGTGGCATCTAGGGGGAATCTCCTTCTGAAGGTAGTAGGCATTGTTAACTCCCTATTATCTTGTTCTTAAGTCCTGAATCATTTTCATTGTTTTGTTGGGCTAGTTTTTATTCTGTTTTGATTTGTTTGATTTTGTTATATCCGATGGCACAGGCAGCTAGTTAAAAGACAGCAAGATATATTATGGGAGCCATTTTGGATTTACTATTGTCTTGTTTTGAAGTCCTTTATTGCATTCATTGTTTTGTTTTTACTGGTTCTGTTCTTTTTTGTTTGATGTTTACAGGTGTCTGCAGCTATTCTGAAGATGCATTATGGTAGTCATTGTTGATTTTGTGTTGTTTTGAAGTCCTGTGTAACTTACACTGGTTTGTCTTGATTGGCTTTATTTTGTTTTATTTTGATCAGTTTTATTCTCTTTAAAATAAAATTTAAAAATTAAAAGAAAATAAAGTGATACACAACCAGAAGGAAAACAATTGCAGAACCATTAGGCAGTCCCAGTTGCTAGGACCTTTCCCTGGAGAAGCCCAGTGTGTTCTTCCTCTGTGAGAAGGATACCAGGAGATGGGCCTGGGGGCCTGGGTGTGCACAGACTGTGCTCCACTGAAGGTCACCTGGCCTGAGCCCCAGGGATCCAGATCATGGCCACATCCTTCTTCTCGCCCTGCCAGCCTCAGAGCACCCTGCCATTAAGTGCAAACAGCAACACCACAAGAAGGCGGAAATCACCTTTGTCTCGGCTTCATGCTTCGTGAAGTATGTCAGAGATGACACCTGTCCAATACAGCAGGTAAACTTATTCTTGGCCGTTCTCTGGCCCCGCAGTTAACTCAGGTGCTCCCTCCCACCAGTTGGCACATCCTGGTCACATTTCCTCAGGCTTCACTTTCCCAGGCAGTTTCAGGTTCAGTAGTCCTTCAGGAACTCATCGAGGTGTCTGCCTTGGCCCCCTCTTAGAAGGGTGGACCTCACTTTGCTCAGTAACTTCCTGAAAAAACAATAGATGCAAATCTCATTGTTACCAAGAACAACATAATAAATACCTGAGGGAGTTCCTCATAGAACAAGCCCCTTGTGGTTCCTTGTACAAATGGAAGTCTTCAAAGGAGTGAATTCATCCCCACCTTAGCCAGATGCACCAAGGTGTGCACACACTTGCCAATTTCCCTAGCTACTAAATCCTCTTGGCACATAGTAAGGATTCTATCTGGTCACTCTGAGTTCCTTAAAATGAATGACCTATGATTTTATTACTGGATGTCAGAATCGCTTCAGAGGACTCCAGCTCCTGACAGAGGTGGTTCCTCTACTTTCTATACCCCATGCTGATTCTGCTCTCCTCTTTCCCACCCAGGTCCCCCCATAGCTCCATCCTATCCTCCCAGAAGGAGCGTGGAGCCATAAGGAGATGATGGACTTAAAGCATGCACTTAGTAAGATTGTTTGGTCATAAAGCAAATGTCCTATCATATTGCCAGGATACTACTACAGTTTATTTTGTTTTTCCAGGGCTTTTGCTGCAAGCAGAAGTGATCAGGGAATTATACTAAGATTTAAAGGTGAGTCAAATTTAAATTGCTAATGGCCTTACTGTTAAGAAGCCAACAGCTATCTACTAGCAAGAAAGAACCCATGGACCCTGGTCCATTCCTCAGTCTCTGCCATGCTTCGTGCTATAGTTTGAATGTTTGTGTCCCTCTAAAATGCATCTGTTGACATCTGACCCATCAGATGATGGTGTTAGAAGGTGGAGACCTTGAAAGGCAGCGTAGGCCATGAGAGTGGATAAATAAGATTAGTGTGTGTCCCTATAAAAGAGCCCTCAGAAAGACCTAGTGCCCCTTCTATCCTGTTAGGACATGGAGAAAGCATACATTATATGGGCTCTCTCAAGACTTGGAATATTCCAGACCCTTGATCTTGTATGTCCTAGCTTCCAGAATGATGCAAACAAGATTTTTGATGGCAGCATAAGTAGACCAAGGCATTTGTCCTATGTTATTTGATTTTCTTTTAGTTTAAGGTGAGAAATAGTCAGGAGAACCAGTAAGTTCCCCCTCAGATCCTAGCTCACCTGCTATCTTAAGCTGTGACTCATTCCTAAGATGCCACAGTTGCACTGGAATAGGAGCAGAGCTGCCTTAAGAACTGCTGAGACCCAAGCCCCATCCTGTTTCTGGAATGCCCATCTCACATCAAATTGAAACTTTCAAATTTACCCATGTCATACATGAAATGCAGTTTCTACATGGCTACATGATGATTGAAAGCATGATTAACTGCTTTTCATAAGCAACTGTATCTGAGTGATTATAAATGTTTCACAGACATTTAACTAATGTACACAGATTTGGCCTTTTTCCTGGTTTTCTTTTCATATTTTGAAACCAGTGGATAGCTCTCTTTATTTTTAAGTGTGTCCATGGTGCTGCCTCTCTGAGATACAATGGGAACAAGAGCCTTGCACAAGGACACAAAAATGGGCCAGATCCATGGCACATGCAGCACGTTTGACACTTTCACCAACTGTGGCCCAAAATGCTGGGATAGAGGAGGAATTTAGGGATCTAATGCCTACTGTCACTCAGCTATACCTCTGTTATTTACTGCATCTTCCGAACAACTCTGGACTTGGAATTATTATCTTCACATTGCAGAGGAAGAAAGTAGAGCGCAAAGAGACTCAGTGTGTCTCAGCACTAGAAAGTAGGCTTTTGAACTTGAGTTTCCAAAAAGCCTCCAAAATCCCGTCTTTCACTATGTCATGACTCCTGAAAGGACAGCAGAAGGCCATTGCTGTCTACCCTGATTCTTAAAATCAGATAAATATTGGCTTATTTCAATGATTGCTCAAGTGCTCTGTATCTTTCCTCATGGCTGGGATACAATACTTAATACCCACAACCAAAGAAAGGTTTATTTTGGCTCACGATTCAAAAGTTTCAGTCCACGTTTAGTGCAAGGCAGGAAACAGCACAAGAGAGGGGCATCCCAATGAAAAGGCACTCATGTCAGGCAGGCAGGAAGCAGAGAGCAAAGGGAGGAGCCAGGGTGGGAGATAAATCCCTCCAGGTCACGATGGGAGTAACCCAGCCTTCTGCCAGACCCTACTCCCTGCACCGGCACTGGACTTCTAAATGCAGGCATTTGCAGTAGGACATCACAATAAGAACCATAACACTGTCATTCATAGACCTGCTTATGTCACTTAGAGACCAGCCATTCCTTCTTTCTGGTGTGTACTTTCTTAATTTTTAATTTTTTAATTTTTTTTTAAATTTTATTTAAGGAGAAAAAAAAAACCAAGAAAGGGTACAAGTTATACAGATTTGCAGAAAAAAATAAACAGTAGGAAATCACTAGTTAATGGATTACATATTGCCATCTTAGAAATAATTGTTCAAGTCACAAAATTAAAGCTTGTAAAGTGGACATTCCAACAATGATACTGCAAACAGTTCTGTTCAATGATCCAACAAAACTCAGTGATATCATTTTCTATCTTATACACTTACATATACATGCAGTTATATAGTTTAGAGCACTTTCTTTTGCTCTCTTTTGTACAATGACTATTACACAATTTGGGTTTTATTGCTCCCACGATTCTTATTACTTTTTTGAAAGAGAGTAAAACCAAATGTGACATAACAGAACAGAGTCGGTCAAATCAAAAGGGTGGACATAATAGATAATGTAAAAACATAATACAAGGTGATCAACAATGGTTACCATAATGCCTCTCACTATCTCTAATAGAATTGCCTATATCATCAGTCATAATAAAATTGAACAAAACAGTAAAGAACAAAACCGACAAAACCAAAACATTGGAGACATTGCAGGTCTTCAAAAGTAGATAAAAGTCAACGAGAATGGGTGTCATAATGGATCTCACTATCTTCACAGCTGTTGCCTAAACTTTTGAACCTGGTACTATCCAGCAAAACAGAATAGGGGAACATCAGTCAAAAACAAGATGGTGAGAGTAGTACAGGGCTTAAAATCAAGATAATGGAAAGTCAAAGTGGGTTACTATAATACATCCTGCTATTTTTATTTATTTTTCCCTTAATTAAAAGGATAAAAATAAAAAAGTAAATAATGGAGTGGAGATTGAGATAAAAGAGGGCATAACAGCCAAACAGCGCAGATCAAAACATAACCAGTTAAGCAGAATAGTGTTTCACCACAAGATAATCCTGACATAAAAGTAGTTACCATATTGTCTCTTTCCTTGAAATCCTTGAGTACAACTTCGTATACTGTAGCATTAAATATATCAAAACAATGTAAAACCATTTAAGAGAATGACAGCATTACAGGGTATTTAGAATCGACTAACCGAAAATGAACAATGGTTTCTGTATAATCTCCTTGTCTTTAAAAGTTTTTGCTTATACTATTATACATAATAAAATCCAATAAGATACAACCTGTTTAGACCAATGGAGACAGAAGAACAAAAGCTTGATGAGACTTCAAAAGAAGATGATACTAAATCAGTATTACCTATTAAGACATCATTTTCTCCAAAATAGCTGTTCCTATCATCCAATCTTCTCTGCCTCATTTCTGTTGAGCTCTTTTTCTGTCATTAGTAGTCAGTTTGTCTTCTTCATTTTGTTCTCTGCTCCATTCATTGTGGCCTCCCCGCCACTATTTCTGGATTCTTTGTATTTTTCTTTTTTTAGAATATCCTGCAATACTCTCTATAGAGTTGAATTGGTGGTTGCAAATTCCCCCAGTTCCTCTTTATCCTGGAAGCACCTTGTTTTTCCATCAATTTCCAGGGACAGTTGTGCAGGATATCTCAATCTTGGCTGGAGATTATTATCTTTCAAAGCTTGAATTATTCCCCCCCCACGCTCTTTGTGATTTGATGGTTTGTGCAGAGAAATCTGCTGTAATTCTGATGGGTGTTCCCTTGTAAGTGGTCTGTTTCTTGTCTCTGACAGCTTTTAATATTCTGTTCTTGTATTGAATTTCTGGAATTTTTATTATTATATGCCTGGGTGTTGCTCTGTTTGGGTTGTAGGTGGCTAGGGTCCTGTATGCCTCATATATCTGAGTATCTTTACCTTTTGCTAAATTAGGAAAATTCTCCTGGATTATTTCTGTGAGTAGCTTTTGTAGTTCATTTGATTGTGTCCCTACTTCTTCTTTTATGTTCTTAATTCTTAAGTTATGGATCCTCTTATCATCTTCTTGTCTTTGTATTATTGCTGTTTGTTTCTTTTTATTTTTAAGAAGTTTTTCATTTCATGCTCCCATATTACAAATCTGCCCTCCAGTTCAGATAGTCTGTCTTTAGTTTCTTTCAAGCTGTTATGCCAGTTTTCGATAGAGTTTTTAGTTTCCTGGTAGTCCCTTTGAACCTGCTTCACGTATTCTATGCTTTCTCTATTTTCTCCATCAAACAATTCTCCCCTCTTTTTCTGTTCTTCCATTCTACCATCTGTTTTTTCTTGGGTGGTGCTTAGCATTTCTCTAACTATTCTGCTTACTTCTAGCTTCAGGTCATTGATAACTTCATTCCTGAACTGATCTATGAGGCTCTCTAGGTGGTGCTTTATGTCTATTGGTGCGGTGTCCGCTATTACCTGTTTCTCAGGATTGGGGGCCGAGGAGCCTTTCTTGTTGCTGCCTCTCCCCATATTCTTTGTTCCTTATATATGCAAGCGTATATAGGAGACCCAGCTTCTTTCCCTGTCAGCCTCAGTCTGATTGAATTGCGCCGGTTAGGTGTTCCCGCCCACCGCAGTGCACCAGGAAGTTCCAGACAGGCAGCCTACGCGGGGCCGCCCCTCAAGGCCACCGTCAGGCTCTGGGATCTGGGTTGGGCCAGCCTACTGGGTCCGCCAGCAGTGTCACGTAGGCTAGGCACTTCTCACCAATCCTGCCTGAGAGGGGCATTTGTGGCTGAAGTCGCCACCGCGCCCTGCTCCCGCAAGTCTGTCCAGTCCCAGAATGTCCTCCGCTGGAGTCAAACTGTGGTAGAGTGTCAGTTTCTCTCACTCACCTCACCACAAGTCAGTGCACGCCTCGCTGCCCGTCCTGTTTTCGACTCCGTTCACAGATTCCCATTCTCAGAGCTTCCGCGTGTCTCTCTCCTTGCCGAGCCGATGTAGAGGCAGCCGCCGCGCGGCGGGAAACCCAAATCGCGGCTTCCAATGGCGCAGACTCCAGCCTCCACAGTGAGGCTTTTCTGTTCCTGTTCTAGCACCAGGACTGCATTCCAAGTTGGTTTCTCTCAGCCCAGTTCGTTCCTGGGTCAGCAGAGTATATCTCCACCCGCTTATGTCTCCTTACTCCACACCATTCCTGACTTCTGAGCCGGGTCTTTCAGAGAACCTCTGTAGCTGCTGTTATCTGTCCGCCATGTTCTCCCGGAAGCCCGAAACCGCTTTCAGGGGGTTGTGGATGACAGTCGCCATTTTGCTACAATGTCGGTGTGTACTTTCTTGACCAAAATGGCCTTGTGGAATCTGTAAAAGGTATTCCACACAGAAGCGTGGTTGGTTTTGTGTTGTTTGTGTTTTGTTTTTGAAGAGTTATATTTCTGCCATTGTTTGTCCTTTCTCTTAGCTTCCTCTACAACAAACAATCCCTGATGTATGTCCAGACCATAGGACACCTGCAGAAGCCAACTTGCACTTGGAATTCAATGCCGCTGTTGAATTCCTGTTTATCTGCTCCCCCTCCAACTATACTCTCAGCTTCTCCAGGCAAAGACTTGTTGTCTCCTCCTGGCAGTGTGCTCTGGCATTAAATACATCCAGAGTTTTCAACTCCCGCTCTGGTACCCAGCTGTGTATCCTTGGGCAAGTCACCCAACTTCTCAGTATCTTTATTTATACCAGAGAAACAGAGGTTGCCCAACTTACTCCACAAGATTATTACAAAAATGAGAAAGCAATTTGATGTATGTTTAAACACTTTGCAATCAAAGAAATACTACACAAATATATATGGGCATTGACTAAAAGTACTGCAAAGTGATAATGGCAGAAGGAATATTCTGCTGAGGTCTTTTGCCAAACTGAAAGAGTTCATGGACTGCAGTAGGAGCCACTGGGCTTCCCAAGAATACAAGGGCTGCATGAGCCAAGGGATCAAATGTGATGTGGAAGCATTCAGAGGAGAGGTTCTGGGGAAGAAGCAAAAACTGTCAGACGGTGGCATACCTGTGAGTGGGAAGACCTCATCTCCTCGGAAAATAGGCAGCAACTCAGTTTCCAAGTGGTACCAGCTGACCGGCAGACACTTGTAAGATGCTGAAAGCTATTTCCATGCTCAAACTCACACCCAACGTTCGGCACTTACTGCAAGAAAACACAGAGAGGGCACTTTGTCAAACTGTCTAAAGCTCCAAAGCAAAGTGAAAAAACTGCCAGGGTAGGATGGGCTGAGGCTGACAGGAAGGGAGACTCCAAACTCAGAATGAAGGGGAAGGAGGGAGAAAAAGGAGATTTTTCAACCAGCAAATGTGGCCTTAGCAGTTCATGGGAAAATTCTGGGTACAGTAAAGGAGCTCTCTCTACAGCATGATTAAAAGGAAAGTCACCCCTATAACAAAACCCCGAGCAAAGAGAAACCTGGGTACTTGGGGCCCAGCACAGCTGAGCCTCAGCAACCTCCCTGATCCCAGTTTGAATCTCCTTGCTCCCACTTGGGTTGCTGAGAAGCCTCCCCATCCTTTCAGCACTTTTTTTAAACACTCAGCTTTGTTCACATGGTCTGTCTCTGCTAGCATGGTCTTCCAAAGGTTTTTTTCTCTTTAAAATCAATGCATTTGCACTTGACGGCCAAATGGATGAGCCTGTCCTTCTGCACAAAGCCTACTCCATCTGCCCCAACCCCTGTGCCCCAACCCCCCCCCATAAAATCATAGAGGACTGTTAAAAACAGCCAGCTTTTCTGTAAGCGGATGTGTGTATCTTTCAGCAGAGCCTGAGCCCAGGACTTGAGTACAGGGAGTTTATTTGGAAGATGATGCCAGACATGGGAAGTAAGGAAAGGGAGAAGAGCTGAGCAACAGTGCATCCTGAGCTGATTATACCTCAAGCACCTGGATCTTAAGCACACTGGGATCCTTGAGGCACATGTGGAGGCGTGGCTGGAGCACATGGTCAAGGAGTTCCATCTGGCCCCACTGCTAGTGCTGCCCCGAGGAAGTTTCAACCTGCCACCTTTAGTGCTCTCAGGTTACATCTGACACCCTGGAATGTGCCACCTCTTCCACTCCTTCAGCTTCAGAGGAAGCCTCCAGGCAGCAGAGGTAAGAGAACTGGCCTGAGGCACCTCAGGCCACCACAAGATCTGCAGTCCTGAACACATAGATGCTTTTATCTTGCGACTCCTCCAAGCCCCGGAGTGCCCAGCTCATACAGAAAGAGACAGAAAGCAAGATGAGGATGGTTTCAACTGCAGAGTAACCTGGGTTGGGCTGAAACCCAGAGATACTTTGCACTTTGTTCCTTTGACTTGAAGACATTTTATCAATGCCTTATCCTTATGCTCTTACTGAAACGTAAGACCCCCTACCATTATGTGGCAAAAATATGTGTAAGGAATAATCCAAAACAAAATGCCTCTGCTTATGGTGTAGCAGCTGGGCTCTCACCTTCTTGAGGCTGTAATAACATTCTGAAAAAGTGAGGGAGACCTTGCTTTTGTCTGTCAGATTCTTTACTGACACTCCAACACCACCTGTCCAATAAACAAGATCAGATCAGTGCCCCAGAAAGATCGTGAGCCAGTTAGTTCATCACCTAACCTCTGTGAGCCTTAGCTTCCACGTCTGTAGGGACAGGGACTGTGTGGACATTACAGGGATCCTGCAACATTAAACAAAGTAGTGTTTGAAAAGATGCTTGGTACACCACACGAGCTCATCAGGCAGCAGCCTTTATACAGCAGGTGGGCACAGGGGCTTCCCCGCTCTGCCCTGGCATCTCAGCCAGGTAAATGGCTTCCTTCTGTAAAAGACTGAACTCAGCTGAACATTATTAAAGGCCCATGTCCCACAGTGCCACTCTGTATCTTTTTTGATGTCTATCACTGGCCACTGTACCTTGTGCTTTGCTTTTTTATAGTCTACTACAATGGCTCTCAGCTTCCCCAAGAGAAAGTAAGGTCAGATCTAAGAGAGTTCATGAACTCAGGACCTGGGACAGCCCTCGCCACTGTTCCGCTACCCTCTGGTCTGCTCTGCCTGCCCTCTGTGCCCACTGCATGCTGTCTCTCCAGGCCACCACACTGTTCTCCACTGGACTTCTCCACCCAACTCACACACCACATTAAAGTCAGCTTCACCTCATTGTTCCACAAGACTTTTCCTCTTTCATCCATCCAGTCCAAAAGAATTTTTTGAGTGTCCACTATGCACCAATCCAGGGAAAGGTGCCTGGGCATGAAGGTGAAACAATGCATCTAATCCCTGCCATCATTGCTATAGAAACCCTACTGAATATACTGGTCTAGACCCTGGACAACTAGATTTATAAGCTTCCTTTTATTCAGTTACGCAGTATGTATCTAACTTGAAAACTGTATTTTCTTTTGCAGTGTTGAGGACAGAGCATAGGGCTTTGTGCATGCTAGGCAAGTGCTCTACCACTGAGCATCACCCCCAGCTCGGGAGCTTGGCCTTCGAGCAGGTTCCTTGGCATCTAAAGAAGGATAAGAATTTGACACAATGATGGGTTAATGATACTGAAAATGGGTGCACATATCTTGATGTAGCTAAGACAGTCCAGATACAAGACTTCCAGACAAACACAGATTAATGTCATTTTCTTTAGAAATTTTGCTATTTGAAGAAAAAAGATCTGGTACAATAGGGTCTAGATGCTTAGACGGATTTAGATTTCCAGTTTGAGGGGCAAGAGACAAGATGTGACCACGGAATATTAATGAAAGTCAGATGCCATCTTGTGGCCAGAAATAAAAATACAGGGACCTAGTGGAACAAAAGATTATGGAAATCAAATGTAAAACTGCATTGTATGAGTAATCTGGAACATTCTGTGAGGACAGTGTATGCATACACTAAGCTTCAAGATAATTCTTTACTCTTATTTTTGACCTCTTTGATTCCATAATTCTTAATTCATGTCTGCACATTTATAAACTCCTCAAACTCTCTGTATGATCGATGGGACTGGCTGTCACTCTTACTTAAATTCAGTGCTGATTTACTCTCATCAAATTCTCTGGGAAATTTTGACCTCTGAAAATGAAGGTATTGTCAAAGAAATTAAGCAAAATGCACTTTCTCTTTGTGAGAAAATAGAATTTTGCCAACAAGAAAAGGCTGTTATACAAAAGCTGGTGATTTGAAATAAATTTTTAACTACCATTTTATAACAATGTAAATAAATGATCAAGGTTGGTAATATTGGAAAGTTTGAGATTTCCTCCAATCAAGTATTTGATAGAAAGGTTAATATAAATATAATTATGCACAATGCAGATATTATCTATTTTAAATGGTTTTGTAAAAAGTTCAGACATGCATCAATCCAAAGGTGGAGAGTGCCAGGTAGAATAAACAGACAGGTCCCAGTTACACATTTTCTACAAAGAAAGTCAATTTACAAATACACCAATTTCCGTTAAATGGAAGGAGAAAGACACTACGGCAAAGCTACATATTACGGGTACATTAATTTCTGACAGCAAGTTCCAGAGAAAATAAAGGTTAAAGGGAAGAATCACATAATGAAAAAAGGGCCAATCCTCCAGGAAGAGAGAACAATCTCTACTTAATGTGTACACATTTAACAACAGACTAAAAATATAAAGGCAAAAAAGTGATAGAAACTGCAAAGATAGAGAAATCCACTATTATTCTTGGAGACTTCAACACCTCTTTCTCAGAAATGGGCAGATACAGCAGGCAGAAAATCAATTAGTTGAAATCAATAAGTCCATTATCAACTGTATATAGCAGTCATCAATAGATTGCTTCATCCAGCTACAGCAGCTACACGTTCTTGGCAAGCTCACAGGACCATTTGCCAAGAACACATTCTGAGCCATGAAACAAACCCGAACAAATCCAAAAAATGGAAGCCATGCCATGTCGGCTCTCAGACCACAGGGATTAAAGCAGAATTCAATAACAGAAAGACAGCCAGTGGGTTTTTAGGGCCGTGTTAAATACTCTGTATGATACTGTGATCGTAGACACAAGTCACTGTATTTTTACATGTACCTATGTAATGTACTTCAAGAGTGGATCCCAATGTGAACTATGGATTTTGGGTGACAATGACGTATCAGTGTAGATTTACTGATTACGTGCCAGTCTGGTAGAAGCTGTTGATAATGGGCAACCCTATGGACACGAAACAAGGACTTTATATAAAATCACTGTATCCTCCTCTTAATTTTGTCATGAATTTGAAACTTCTCCAAAAAACAAGCCTGTTTTTTAAAGCTTAGATATACAAAGCTTTCAAGTAAAAATGCTATGGAAAAATGAAATTAAATATTCCTGTAGTAAAGCACCTCCTGTGAATCACAGAAGCTATGCCGGGTCTGGGAGGAGTTCATCAAAAAGAAGAAGCCAACCAGCCCTTCCAGTAAGCTGTGCATGCAAACCACGCAGGACCAGGAAGCGAGAAGCCAGATAGCGCCTCCCATGAGCCCACCCGCGGGCGGGCTGAGAATGAAGAAGTCTCCCCCACCCCACTGTGTAATAACAACTGAGGTACGAAAAGCAACTGAATGCTTGCATTGTTTGGTTGACTTTGCAGGCCTGGAGCCAGTGCACTGAGCATCTATTGGAAGGATAACAGTGTGCAATATAGCAAATATGGGGGATTTCCTTATGTCTTGTTTTTGAAGTCCAATACCCCATATTGTTTTGTTCCAATTTATTATTTTGCTTTCAACAATTTTCTTTTTGCATGGTTTGATTTTGTTATGTTTGATAGGATGGACAACTATGAGTGAAGATAACAAGATATACTATCTGATGATTTCCTATTGTCCTGCTTTGAAGTTTGTACCAATTTCATTGTTTTGTTTTGACTGACCTTATTCTGTTTTGTTTTGTTGGGTTTTATTATCTTTATTTTTTTAATTTTATTTTAAAGAGGGTAAAATTAAACACAACAAAACAGAACATAAGAAAACACTATAAGAGGCACAGATTTCAAAGCACTGTAAGAGGCACAATGTAAGAGACACACATTTCAAAGCAAGACAACTGGAGATCTTCACTGTCTATCATATTGTCTCTTGTTTTCTTCCAAATAGTTGTCCATATCTTCACATACAATGAATTCATACAAAACAACATAGTATAAAATTGAT